TTTCTGCCAGTTTTCAAAAGTAGAAAATAATATTTTCAAACACTACCAACCTTTTCATGGTATTTATATTTCGGTGCTGCACTAGGAGCCCCAGTTTTGGCCTTCACTGTGTGGGCTACGCCGCCGCTCGCAAGAGGACTCGAGGCGCGGAGGGCCCTGTACACATTTCGTGAGCGCAGCGCGCTGCGCCTTCCGTCGGGCGTTGGCGGGCGCGCGCCTCTCAAGATACGGACGACTTGGGTCTACAGGACAGGGAAGTGCTCGAACGCGTTGATAGGAACCGGTAATGATTTTGTGAATGGTTAGGATCCATATTTTTTGACAGACAATTTCTTGTAACCTTAATTTATTCCATTTTCGTGCAAGTTTCGAAGATTGTTGTCCCCATCATCAGGCTGAATATAGAATAAATTAAGGTTACAAGAAATTGTCTGTCAAAAAATATGGACCCTAACCCTTCACAAAATCATTATTCATTATGAGAGACTAAAAGGTGGAAATAAGGAACCGGGAATGTTTAGTTTTCAAAAGCGTTATCATACATTTATTTTTTAAAGATTCATTTTTATTTTTTTGTAGATTAAATCTGAAAATGTGCATTACTCGTCTATCACAAGTTTAATTTCTCTTAAGAATAAAACTTGAAACAATTTCATGGGGTTTACTATTCAATGTTCCAGAAAAAGACAAGTAGTATCTTTTTGTAAAAAAAGAAGACAGGCGTTTAAATACTTAATTTGAACATTACCAAAATAGCTATAAATGCCAATATGAGGCTGTTTTGCAAGACCAAACTGGGATAAACTTGTTTGCTTTTATGTGTATAAATAAAATATCTAAAAATGAATCATTTTTTTCATAAATTGATTACTCCAAATTTTCATAGAAGTAGTGTGCCAACCAACCCCCAGAAGTGAGGTTGGTTGGCACATCGTGACATGATATCTTTTAATGATTTAAAAAGATCGTAAGTTGTATGTTTACGAATAATAATTCCATAAGTATCATAATAATTGTAGTTTTTATTGATATATTCAGACTCCTCAAATAAGTCCTCAAGTATCTGAACCGGAGTTGAATACAAAAATTAAAACGTAGAAATGCATGCCAACCAGCCTTGGTCTTCCTTACTAGTCGTTCCTTCCTTACTTCCTTCCTTACTACTTCCTTACTAGTCGAATTAAAATTCAGTTTTCTACGAGTAAAATAAATGATCAATAATTCAAAAGTACTAGTTATTCTTTACTCTGTTCTGTAAAATTATGTCATCAAATAAAAAAAAAAAAAAAAGACGTAGCATTCAACAGTTGGTAACAGTTGGCGCTCAGAACATCGAGGGCCAAAAGTAACCCCCATAAAACTGTCGGCGCGATTTTCAATTTAAATATATCAGTGCACAAGAACAACTAAAATTCTGTTCACATACTACTTGCAAATAAGATTCTATTAAAAGTGAAGACGAAAGGGGCAGAAGACGCAAAAACACCTCTATGACACGGCGATGGGACTGTGCCATTTACACATTCTCCTTCAGTGTCTGTTAGGCTTCAGTCTTCTGTGAGGACCAGACACCGCCTTTCGTCCTCCCATTCCAGGAGGCCATTTGTTTCGCCCACCTGTTGTACTTGTTGTAAGGTGACGATGCGCGTTCGTTCAAATTGCGAAATGAGTCTTCGAGACATTGACAAAGTGAACATGTCGGGCTAATGTTGACTACTGATCTTCCCGATTTTAAAAAAAAGGATATTCTATTGAAGAGGGCTGGAAGTTATCTTGGATTTTAACGGAGAGTTGCATTATACGTGAAATTGAAGTGCTGCGTCAGAATAGCTGTCCAACACGAATTAAAATTATCTTCCAGGCTGGAGCACCGTAGTCGATTGCAAATCATGTTTCCAGACGCTTCTGCTGTAACTACTCGGAAGATATTTTAATTGCGACTCCCGTCGTTGAAGCCTACATCGTTTTCAGAACAAAGGAATCAGCATTGCCAAACTGATCGCATTAATAGTGCGCTATCCACAACAAAAATCTGTAGTGCCTTTGACAGAAAGGTCGTAGGATTTGAGTTCCGAACGTGGGATGATTTTCGATACTAGCTACATAGCTAGGACAAATTCAGCCACTGTCTGCAGGACAAATCTAGCGACCGTCTGCTCGGATCTCTAGTTTTCCGTAATTTCTCCAATCAAAACCAATCGAATGCCGGAGCAATACCCCAACAAACGAGCCACGGACCTCGCGCGATGTTTTCTACCTCTTCCGTGTTCTATCATCACCCCTACACACTTACAATTTCATGCACTCTACACTACCACACAATTGGAAGGCCAGTCGAAAACTGAGGGTTTGCCCCGGCTGGGGCGGTGCCACGCTGAAGGAAGGTTTGGGGATAAAACTGCAAGTCAACGTGCAGGTCCGTGCTGGACCTTGCCATACAGATGAGGAAAACCCGTGATAAAACATGCACTACACTTACGAGACTAATGGCCGTAGCAATCGGCGTGCCTGGAAACATGTCAATCATAAACAATACAAAAAGAAAGAAACCTATAATAACAAATTGCCATTGACAAATGATACTGAACAAAAAAAATTGATTGAAACAGAAAAAAATCGTGGTGGCACCAAGAACATTTCATGAACTAAATTTGGCGCATTGTTTACAATGGTGAATTTTCTGCGGAAATCAAAATTGCAAAGGCAGAGCAAATGTAAGTGGCGCCGTGTTTGTATTCACGCAGACTTGCAAATCATGCAGGAGAATACAGGTGCAACTGGAAATGGCCAAGGTCTATTAAATGAGAGTGTCTTACTGGTTACGAGGCAAATGGTAATTTCCTAAAGAGTGTTTTATTGAGTTTTGACAGGTTTTTATCCCTTTCCACTAATCGTTTCTCGTCTCTAGACCTTTACTGTAACTTAAACATAAATATCTCGAGAAGAGACCAAAGGGGGCAAACTGTTTTTAGCATCGAAAATCACATTAGACCATTCTCTTTCTTATGAGCATAATTAAATTGATTTCTCTAATTACTGTATTGGTGTGGTTTCCAGAGTAGTGCAAGTACTACTGTGAAATTTTATTATTTGATTTATTATCAACAACAGTAAAAGCCCGTGGCCCGTTTGGTTGTGGTACTGCTTCTGCATTCTCCTGCAGTTTGTACGATAAATCACGGAAGACTATCGATCAGTACAGCTGGCTGCTAGAATTCTCCTCTAGACAATGGCTGCATGTGACCTAACTATGAACAATGCAGTTAGTGTCGAAAATCCTCCCACCTTCGGATCTCGAACCTAGGGCCACCCGGTCAGAGGCACTGCAATAACATCAATGATGGCCTGAAACTCCTCAGCTACGAGTAATCCTTTCTTTTTGTAAATTAGTTTTTTCAACAAAATGAAATGTAAAAATGTAAACCTACTTCGAAATACAAGTAGAGATGGTACAACAGCGCTAGTTAGAAATAGTAGTGCTACCCTTTGGTATTAGTAACGGTTACATTCTACTATAATCTCGCAATTTTTATCCATATAAACATTTCTGCCATCATTTGCAAAACCCATTTCCAATCATAGCACTTGGATGTGTAAAAACAAATTCTTTTAAAGCATCAACACAAATTTGAAAATTCGAAACTCCTTTCCATAGAGCGTGATACATCGCTCAATAATGAGAAAGAGTTCTATGAACTTCAAACTATCGTGTTGAGGTGCTACCATTGTATTAGGACAGTATAGGTCGCTAAATATATATATATATATATATATATATATATATATATATATATATATATATATGCGACGGGTTACCCATTCTGCAACCGGAGGTCCTTGCTCTCTACGGGATGGTAACGAGTGGTAATAATAATAATAATAATAATAATAATAATAATAATAATAATAATAATAATAATAATAATAATGTCGCCAAAGAACATAGGGTTTTTAATAAACCATAGTGAAATACCATGGTTAAACTTTTGGTAAAATATATACTTCATGCCAGTGTTATGCGAGAGTTTTTATAACATGGGAGCAAATTCATACTTTCTCATCAATTCTAGCCAAATACGCTCGTTTCCCTGTGCATTCATATTCACCTTAATGTGTTAGTGCACGGATCACAGAGCTCAGGAAAATATGCAGTGATTGCACTTTTCCCCATGGTACGTCTCACTCAGTTTTTAACTGTTTTACTTTGAGTAAATAAATACTGTACGTTTCGATTTAATTTTTATACTTAATGCGTTACTGCTTTTGAGAGTCATATGATAGAAATTCTTTAGGGAAGAGGTATTCCGCGATTAAATGTTTACTATTCATATGTTATGGAACAGCACATTTTTAAATTTTTGATAACTGTTATACAATGTAATTTATTTAATATACAATTGTGTTATTGTGGTATACGTGATGATAGTTTTAAAATATCTAATTTATTACCGTGTTATACGAGAGTTTTTTTTATTTGTTGTTCTTGAGCAGTATGAGTTCTTGTTTTTGAAAATCCATTTTGTGTGATTTGTTCAGAAGCAATTTTCTTAATCTATTACTACACACGGGGCAGGGATCTACAAGAACTTCAAGAAAAAAGTTTTAGTGAACATGTTTAGGAAAGCGTCCAATGAAAATCTACTGGTGATTCTTGCTGAAAAATAGTTTGCTGAGGCAAATTGATTACTTAGTTAATGTTGTAGTATAAATTATTGGAAATGTAGACTACGTTTTTGGGAGTGTGTTCGATGTCTAACATGGCGCGTTTTTAGCTTAGATGGTGAATCTGTTTTGTTGTACTTAGAGTTTATTTATTTGGGTCGCTAATGCGTTTGTCCGAACGAGGCATGCGTGTTACATTATTGGTCTCATTATTGTTTTATAAAGTGAGACGGCATTGTGACATCTTGCTTTTTGTTTGCTGCTCTTTTATTGTAATATGTGCAATTGTAATTCCAAATCAGTTTAGTATGTAAATCCAGCTAGAGGTGCTTAACTGTATGAATAAGGTTTGTACCATTGGGGTTATTATAAAGAAGAGAATGTGTGAATTTTGTTTGGTTTAATTTAATTGTCTACACTGTTGACTATTGGATACACCTCAACATTATGTTCTCGATTTTGTTCATTATGAAAAAGTGTATTTTTTTTCACTGGTGGTTTTTATGAATTGTCTGCATTTGTCAATTACAATATCATCTCCAAACTGTGCTCGTTCGGTGAGGTCCGTAGTAGATATATCGGACTGTGTCTGTCAAATAATGCTGGAGAAAGAGGAGATCTCTGAGAAAGTCCTGCTAATATTTTATTGAGATTTAAATAGTGGTGTTATACTGTTAACATATTATATCATATCTGTTAATTTTTTGTTGTTGACCAGGAAGATGGTTGTTCCTATATATTATAGTTTGAATAGAAGACGTTGATACCAGGCTTTGACAAAGGCTTTTGATATGCCTAAGAATGTTTTTGTGCAATCGTACTTTTTGATCCTCGGTGCCTGCGTGTGAAATTCAATTCTCTTCCATGATATACAGTGGAACATTGCTTTCGAGGACACGCCCCCGATAGTGTTTCTTTACCTACCCCATTTCTAGTAAATTGGGAAGTGTAGGCCTTCTTTCATTCACTTGGTGGACTATTTCCTTGCAGGCTTCAACTGAAAATTCTTTCCAGGATTTATATGGCACTATTAGGTGCTGTCTTTAATAACTCAATATTTTCACTAATAACATTGTAACTAATAAGTGACGATTGTGTGAAAATATAGTTTATTATTTGCAAAATCTGCCGCTGAATATTTTCTTAATATGTCATGGCTGATATTAAATATTGAGTTATTAGTCAGACTGAATAGCTTTTTGCAATCACTAGTGATTACAAAAATATTTTGAACTGTAATTTGTCTCACTGTTCTTGTTTTCTTTGCAGATAAAATCAGCTAACACTCAAGATTATGACGGTACGTACGGAATAAGGTTAACATATACACTAGAAATGCTTTTAATTTTAACATGTTATTGCAAATATCATGATAAATCGTTACTGTGTTTCAAGAAATAATCTAAGCAATCATAATTTGGTGGTTAATGTAAGTTAAAATTTAGTACTTTGAAAAAAGGATGTACGCTACATCTATTTTTCATTAGAGATAAAGTGCTAATCGATTATTTTAAAAGCTCGTGCTGTACTGAGTAGAATATTTCTTTTAGCATGTATAATTTTGGATGGCTTTCTATGCATGGAATATCTTATTAAACATAATTCATTAATCAAATAGCGTAAAGTAGTTAATCATCCCTTACGTTCCAGTTTCGGACATTCAGTGCAGTTTTTCGGACTTCGGCGACGGGTCTCATTCCCGAGACGTCATATCCGCGCGATTGCGAAAACCCGAAGGCTTCCGAGGGTCTCCGCTCTTCGCCGACGACAGGCAAGTGGACCCGCTCAAGGACTCAACGTGCCAGATCCGCCCTGTTCCTGGGGACCCCACTGAGCTCTCCTACAACCTCCTTATCACCGACTTTAATAGGTGTGGCGTGGCTAAACGAAATGTAAGTACATAAATATTAAGGAATCTAAGGAAGGATATAAAAATAATATGTTCATTATCAGTGCCTTTATTAATTACATTAACAGTATATTATTAATTATTTTGCAATAATTGACATAATCTGCATCAGTAATTGAAGTATTTGAAAAATGGAGCAACACTAACAATTACTACAGTTCATTGTACGAAACTTTACAATTCCGTTAACCAACAGAACAATCAAATTTGCCAGTTCACCGTAGAACCAGAAGAAAATACCAAGTCCAAATTGCAAGAAACTCTAAACCCGATAATGTTCCCAAAACGTGATACAAGTCACACTTTCACAAAAGAAAACTTCCATGGTACTATCCGGTTCGCTCTACGCAGACATAGTCACATTATGACACTTCCATATTCTGTAGTGCTGTGTCCGCGGCCTCTGATATACTGCTCGTGACCTGGTGCTGCCCATTCTGGAAAAACAAAAACTGGCGATGGGCAGTCAACTTGCCAATGACGTCACGATGGTCCACACCTGTCCCGTAGTAGGCCTATGATGTTCCCTTGCTGACGCTAGAGCATTTCACGATTTATTTTCCCCTGACATTCCATTACTAACAGATTTTGGTATCAAAAATCAAAGGATTTATATTTTTAGAAATATGTTCCTTTTATTTCAGGAAAATGCTTCCTTAAAAGAAAACTATAATAATTTGGGAGTCCGAAGACTTCGGGATTTATAATCCGCCTAGTGCAGTGTCATTCAGCAAGTTCCTACATTTATGCAAACAGAATTGGGATCAGAAGTTAATAAAAATAGATTTTGATCAATTTTAAAAATGTACATTTCTTTTGAAAAAATCATATTGCAATTTACATATTTAATTCCATAACAAAAATGAAACACAAATATTTGAGCAATTTTCTCCCAATGTGTGTACGTACATATTCTATTTATTTTTTACATATTCCAAATATTTTATAGAATAGGCACATTCATTTTTTTTAGATAAGACAAGTAGAACTGTGTTTCAGCCAATTATTTCGAATGCATTTCAGCAAGTGCACCGAATCAAAAAGATGGAACTATGCTCTATCATTGTTTTGGGGATAGAAAATTCTTTTATTAAATTATGCACATGTGAATTTTCCTTGACTATCAAAAGCATTACCTACTATGATTCCTCCTTTATAATCCATAGTAGGTTTCCATGTATTTCATCGATCTGTAAAATGACTGATTTGTCATTATCCTCTAACAATGAAAATTTGATCTGTATACACTTTAGTAACATCAAGGGACCTTGTTCAACCAGTATCCTGGCTGAAATTTTACTGTTGAGAGGCGTTACAGTTATTTCGCTGGGTAATGTAATTAGAAGATCTCACAAAACCAAATGCATGCGGTGAATTGGATTTTAGGAAACTATAGAAAACGGTGAATTCTACAGAAGATGTAGCTCACCTTCTGTGGACACTTATAAGACTCACTTGCTCTTTTAAAAATGACAATGCCTCATTTTTTTCTAGCAAAATTGCTTTCATTGAGCGAAATATGTCTAAGGCCAAGGCAGCGAAATCATTGACATTACAAATAATTAGCTCCTAATAATTCATCACCAAAACTTGAGAGACATTCATTTACAATATTTTGAAAATGATTCATATTATCTTCTTTAGTTGGTAATAACATATTATTTACTGGATTAATTAATGCACTCCTATAATGACATAAACACGTAATTTTTCATCTGTATTAACGGAAAGTTTAATTGAGGTAGTGGGTCTTCTTTTACGAGTATAAAACATATCAAAGAGCTTCTAATTAACATTGTCAACTCTGAAGGGGCAATATCTTCAGTTCATCTAAACTGCTGAAACCATAGATGAATTATACTCGGCATTTGTCTCCAGAATAGCAATTATCGCTTTCAACGTTTTCCATCTCTATTCTTCTTTTCTAGTCAGCTGGATTTTTTAAGTTATTTGTTCCGTCTCTGAGAAAATATTAATTTTGCCTAAAGATTTTGCCACTTTTGGTTTTTATGAAATAAGACCTAGGGGCACCTAAATCCGAGGTTCCCAGTATTTTGTTTTACAATTTTGTATGAATACTTTTTGTCCTTGTTTAAATTTATTTTCAGTTTTAGAACTCCCTTTTGTCATGCCATTTCTTTTGGTATGCCCTTTTGTCACTTGTAGTTTAACATAAAGCGGTTAAATTACTCTAGGTAATAATTTGTTAGAAGGGATAAGAATGTTTGATCTTCTGTACTAAATATACTGCATGATTCTATTATATTTTTTATGTCAGCACGTATTTCTGACCAGTAATAATTTCCAATGATAGCGGAAAAATTGCAAAATTTAGATGATTAAGGATCTAGTTTGGTATGATAACAGCCATTTTTTATATAAAGATCTAAAAAGTAGATTTTATTTACCAAATGTGGGGATATTTCATCAATAGTAGGTATCGTGAACCTTTCTCTGATAATAAACTTATTTATATGCTGTGGATAAATACATATTCTTAATGACTTGTCAGGTTTTTCAACTATAACAACATTAGATACCCATTCTACTGGTTCATGTACTTCAATTATATTTTTATCCAGTTTTTCGATTGTAAGGTGAGATTGACAGAGATTTCGATTCACAGATTTCGCCGGCAGGTCAAACAGTAAATTCAGAATATCGAGGTAGGTCAAACAGAAATTTAGTCGACGACAAGGCTTTTGGTCGATTTTGTATGTCAATGCCCAGAACCACAAGTCGAAGAAGGTCCGCGAAATTTTTGGCTAAAAAAGGCATATTGGTACTCAAATATCCTGCAAAATCGACAGATCTCAAAAACCTGCGACTATTGGCTGTTTTCCAAAATCAAAATGACGAAAGGCATTAAAACACCATATAGTACATTTAAGAAAGGTAGACCGAGGTCTCAATCGCAATTCCAAAAAATGACTACAGTAAATGTTAAAAGGGTTTTTAAATAGTTGTGAGAAATTCGATTGGCGACTATTTAGAATAAAAATACTAAAACCAAAACATTTATGTTTTTCCAATTTTCCTTGAAACGTATTGAACCAATCACACCAGAACTTGGGCAAGCCATTTATGTACGTATCCCAGAGTAAATGTCACAAACTTCTATCATTTTTCGCCAATAAATATATGATGAGAATTTTCATATAACGAAGTTACATAATTCATATCTCCCCTGATATGTAGGCAACTTTCCATGCATGTGTCGTGAACACGAAATCCCTTTGTATCAGGGCGAGACCCACCAAACACAAACGTAAGATGAGTTGTCTACCTACTTCACTACATAAAATTTCCCACTACTCACTGGCAAAACTTATAATCTTCGATCCCTTAAATGCCTAGAAATGTTTAATATGTCTTTTGAAACAAATTTTTATTTGTTTCGGGTCACTAGTTCAACCGGCTAGCCAAGTTATACTAAACAACCTATAGTCAGAAGTAGCAAGAAAAGCTTGGGGCTTGTGGTTCAGCATGATAGCAGACCAATGGAGCAACTTCTTGTATACGTATTTATCAGATATGAATTATTAATGGTTACATTTTATAATTGTTTGCTAGTCATTTCCAATTGAAAACATTGTCTTCCTTGCTTCTACTGCTTGCTTACTACTGTTTCTTAAAAGTGGCACTAGGGTTGTGAGTACTTGTGGTATGGCAGAAGAGCAGGCCTAATAGATCAAGCCTCGCCATTAATTAAGACATTATTATTATTATTATTATTATTATTATTATTATTATTATTATTATTATTATTATTATTATCTTTACTTTAATTATCATTAGAAGTAGAAGTGGAGTAGTAGTACTCTCTCTTTGACATTTATTTGTCTCATAACTAACGAGTTGTGATATTGATTCCTCTGAAACGGAATAAGGAAAGCAGCTAACTCCAAATTTTAAGGGATAATTACCCTGATATTAATTCAATATCGTCGACTAAAACTATACGTATACTGAATTAATAATCATTTCAAAAACGTTTACCACTTCTTCTAATCCAAATTTCTAAACCATTAGTTCATGTCAGCTTGAATTACAATTACTTATCTTCACCTATTTATCTGGTGACTATTTTATGATAATTATTTTATCTGTTTTATGTTTATTGACACTTTATTATATATTAACAACCAAGAAAGTAGTTATTTGCAACTTGTGTGATCGTTAACGATTTTTAACAAGTTTCGTCAGTTATGGGAATGTCATTACTTGAATATGGAGACAATAATTTACATTTGATTTTTTCAGCACATATTACAATAATAATAATACTAATACTAATAATAATAATAATAATAATAGTAATAAAGCAGCAAAATGAAAATACATCTGATTGTTGAAGACCGCGAGAGAAATCAGGATGGATGGCCTAATGCGCATCTGATAATCAAGGCTGTTATTTGTTTGTTTCAGGGTTTTGTCCATGTGCGGATATGGTTTCCTCAGTTTACTGGTGTAGTAATGATGTCAGATCAGGATCTTGTCATTATGTGTAAGCCTCCAGAACCCACAATTATTGAGAACAAAGCTGCAGGATTTGCGGGAAGTCTGTAAGTTGAAACAGCAAGTCTTATGTTACTTGTTTTTACTTTCCTTATTTACTAAATTTATTCTAAGACCTACACTCTAAGACAAAACGGTAAATTCAACCAGATAGCTTGATCGGAATGAATTCGAACTTCGCGGTTATATCCAGGTATGTTGTCATCGTTTTTTACACCAACGATTTCTATTTCACATTCTGAAGCGCGACAGATAATAAAATAAGACTGCAATATGGTGAAGGGTAGGCTCCAAGAGAACGCTGGATTTACAACAAATCATTATGCATGGCGACCGTTTCGATTGGTTTAGTAAACATCCGGTAAGCGTTAAAAGGAAAAAAAAAAAAAAACTGTCACTGAGTGTGAGGAAATGTTCTAATAATAAAAGTTTTAAATGATGAAATAGTAACTCCTTACCTAAACATAGAGCAAAAATCAACGTTTTGCCCCCCTCCCCTCCCCATTGGTAAACGACTGTTAACCACTACAATGCTGTGCCCTTATCGCGAATGCTTATCGGCTTCATCAGGGTCGTTTCCATCGTTATGGGCGTGACTCACGCGTATTCCAACATAAACTAGCGGTGCTTCGTCACATACTTTCTCGCATTATTTGTAACGATTATGCAATATTATTATACTACATGAACCAGCAATTGTGTTTCCAACCACCAATTTTTACTTTCCCGTATATAAGGAGTAATATACGTAGTATAGGCAAATGTTTGTAATGCTGCGGAAAATCGATTTCGAGATTTCCACAGACATACACGTTTTGAAGTCCCCTGATACCGAAAAAGTTTTTTTTTTTCAAAACGTCCAACCGTCCGTTTGTCTCTCTCTGTCCGTCCTTCCCATCCGTCTGTCTGTTGGTCTGGTGTCTGTGAACACTACTAGCGCTTAAACCATGCGAAGTATTTTTCCCAATTGAGGAAACCGGTGTTGATCTGGTCGAATGGAGTAGAATCTTTGAGATTTTGAAAAAAAAATCCTTTAAAATTTGGGGGTACTTTACATGAAGCCCACCGGACATTTTCAAATTTTTCTCAAAAACAGCTCCAAATTGTTTCTTTAAATTTCTTGTAAGAATAGAGTAACATACGTGGTATAGATCCGATTTTCATGGTTGACTTAATTTTCGAAAATTTCAAAAGTATGATTTTTTGTGTGTCTTCCTACAACTACAAAGTTGAAGATAGAGATGTTTCCTTCAAATAATGTATGTTCTCCATAGTAAGTTCTTTCATTGAGGTTATGTACATTTTTTTGAAAATTTTAGTACTTTTCGTACAATATTGCGTGCAATATATGTAATTTTAAAAAATTACAGAAGCAAGATTTTCTCATAAACGTATCCGATTTTTTCTTCAAACTCTTTGAACGGATAGTGGTAATTGCACTCTTTAATATGACGTAAAGTTAATCTCGGTGTAGTTTTTGTTATATTTTCGAAGAAAATATTTTTTAAAATTTTTCGATTTAGTCGACGCCGGTATATCACCGCAACTTAATTTCCATTTTTAATTACCATTTCCAAGACTTGAAGCAATGTTGCAGATTTGGGAGATCATTAGATCATTTGTGAATAGGCGAGTGGACTGCAATTCTGACGGCCGACTGGCAGGCTAAGGTTCCAACGGCCTGAAGTCGGGCTCGCTTGTAGAGCCCCTCGTTGCCCCACAGTGTAGGTGCTGTGATGCAACAAATTAATAGTTGAAGAGATGATAATTGAATGTATATAACTAATATATAATGAGCACAGGAATTTAAAGAAAACTACTATGTAACCTCCGGCCATGTGAGAGGTATCTATGGTTTCTTTATACACTCAAAAACTAGGAAAAATCCAACTAGTGCTGCTAAAACAGCACGTACTTACTCACGTGTACTTTCATGCAAAAATCAGCGAAAAGTACTCAAATTTTCGAAAAGTTGTACATGACCTTACATTAAAATTTATCTTTAAGGAACAGATTTTATTAAGGGAAAAATCTCTATCTTTAATATAAGTGAAAAATAACATTAACTTAAACACTCAACATTTATTATTATTATTATTATTATTATTATTATTATTATTATTATTATTATTATTATTATTACTACTACTTTTTATGAACCTAATGCATAAAAGTTATTGAATGGATATTAAGTTCATAATTATCACTCAATACCAAAGGCCAGTGTAACAAGTCCAGGAACGTTGTAGATATCACGAACGATACACAAGATAATTTTCCCCTGTCTGGTAGGCAATATACTTGTGGTTATGTTTTTGCATGGTGTTTTGAGGGTCATGGACAGACGCAGTCAGAGAGGTTTCGTACTTGTGAAACACCAATGCATGAAGAGTCGTCTCCCAGTCGGTGGCAAATGTCTCCTCTGTAATTTCGTTATACATTCCCCCCCCCCCACTTTCTCATCGCCAAACGCCATATTTGATCCCCCCTGCAAGCGTTAGAAGTTTATAACATTTCTTGTGCAAAATGCGCGCTTCGCGTGGAGAGGAGTGTTGGGAGGGTGTGGCAGGGTGGCGTGTGCGGTTGCAGGCAGAACGGCGCGCGCGTGTCGGGCGTGGTGGAGGAGACGCCGGGCCGGCTGGAGTACGAGGTGGCGCTGTACAAGGAGGCCCCGCCCACGCGCCTCGCCAACAAGAGCAACGAGCTGCCCGTGGACCAGGCCGTGCCCATCGGCACCAAGCTGCAGCTGCGCGCGCGCATCAACCCCGAGTCAGGTACGGACTCAAGGAACAGTCAAAGATGAAATCAGTTACAAATTTCAGAGTAGAACCAATATGAGTCCTTATACTCTGATACACTCTAGGTTTCACTTTATCGTTTTCTATCCATCATCTCATTGTCCACCTTTTTTTCTCCATCTTTTGTTCATGTTCTTCTCCTCCGGGTCATAAGAATAGTTTACTTGAGTTGGGAATCAGAAACATTATTGGTCCTTCATTGGCCCGTCCCACTAACCAGTAACATCTACCATATCTGATGTCTCGAAAGCAGGAATGTTAAGATTCTCACTCAAGCTGTCTCATTAAGTGACGTACATTGTATAAGTATCTTATAACAGTAATCGTATAATAGTAATCTTATAACAGAATATCCTTCCGTCCCCGAGATTTATCGCAAAATATAAGGAACTCGACCAAGGTAGAAACGTGGATTGTTTTGCATTTTATTACTTAGGGTTTAAGGTTTTTCTACCAAAAAATATTTTGGAGATAAAGGTAGGTCGTCGCCAAAAGAAAAAAAAAATCTGACCGGGTCACCATTGAATGTGGTGCTATTGGAACGACATCTGGCAGTACAATTTGGTAGTTTTCGTGTCAATTGAGATTGGCACTTTGACGGAATAGGGTTGAATTGCATTGCGACCCTTGGTCGACCGTGAGCCCTCCGCTCATCCGTTACCTTTAGTAAATTGACTCGGTTTTTTCAAGAGTTTTTGCTTTCGAATATACATGTTTACAATACTTATATATAATATTCATTCTTTTAAAATTAATACAAAATTATTACAATGCAGATAAAAAATTTAAAATGTTATGTTTGTTGTCTAAATACTTTGAGTTCTAAGAATTATTTAAATATTTTGCTTTACAATTACTACAAACAGTAATAGTATGTTTTCGATATAAAATCAGCTCTATTTTATACATCTGATTGTGATTTCCGTTTTTCTTCTTGGAACAAAAGGCACATTCAACGTTTTGATTTTGTATCGGTTGTCATTGTTGTTTCTCGCTTGAAAGAAAAAATCGATACTAAATGAAACATGAAATATACAAAAAGTTAACTTCTACTATTCGCGAAATCTAAATTCGCCGAGCGTTCGTCGTTAATACGCGGAGGGAAAATCACATCAGTTTTCTTCGCTAATTTCACATTAATTGTGAAACTAGATATCAAAGAGCATATTGTATAAAGCAATTTGTTTCTCTTCAGAGTCGTCTACAATAAAGTATCATATTTGGTTTTGAGGGTAACGGAGTTGAGGAATCCTATGTACCCGAAAACCAAAGGCATGTTTTTATTTACGATATCAAAATGGATTAGCAATTTCACTATTTCCAGAGGTAAGAACGGTCTGTAATTTTGATTTTTTTTTATAAAAAACACAAAAAGGAGTAATCATAAGATAATTACAAGAAACGCTATTTATCTCCAATAATAACAATCAAAAGGTATACTTCCCTGTTTAGATCAATGCCGCTAGGATAAAAATTGCAATTCGAGAAAACACACTGGCAGAAAAACAGTATTTATGTAATGGAAAGAGCACTGGTCGATAAGAAATGTTGGGGATGGGGCCGTAGACGCCCTGATTGACATGTCGCGGATGACCGGCGCCCGGTGGCAAAATGGCGGCGTGGCGAACTGGCACTGAGGCGCCATCTACACCGCCGCTTTGAGAGCCGGTGACCACTGTGTACGTCGATTTAAACATTAAGTTCGTTGACACTCCGTCAACTGTGACGATGTTATTAAAATGGATCTTGAACGTTACTATAGTGACTCCTTTGCTCAAGTGCACAAAAGTGAGCGGGGTTGAATAATACGCTGACCGAATAATGCACTTATGACACTAAACACATTTTAATTAAGGACAATCACAATCAAAATGAGATTAAGCACATTCAAGTTAAGTACAAACAAGGATAAATACGAAATTATATAAAGGTAACATTTTTGATAATTTATTGGTTTACTGAATCATTGAGAAAATAAAAGAAATTCTCTTTCTTTTTCTTATCTTTTTTTACCTTCCGTTTTTCCTCTCTTCCCCTTCTTCTTCTCTCGCTTCCTGACAACATATTGACTAATCCATTGAGAGACAGAGGTGAATTGGTCACTTATGTGCGATGAAGATGTGCTGGCAACTACGGCCCCCGATACCACTCCATGTGACTTTTTCTTTGAGGATTCATCAAAGGTAGATTTTTTTCAACATTTGCTCCTGTACTGGCTTCATTGCGCGTGCGTATCATTGCAGCCGCAACCAACGTTGTTTCCGAGATGCTAAGAAGTGTTTGGCAGGAATTATATACTACATTATGTTGAAGATACAGCATGAACCGCACAATAAGTATTTATAGCAGATTATCAGAAAAAAAACTTCAGTTGTTCACATTATGTGTGAAAACTCTGTTAAAGAATGTTTAACTGAAATTAAATAATCAGTCATTGAAACCGGAAACATTCTTTTGACTTGCTGTGTATCTTAAAAGAAATGTCTTTTAATAGGATTATTCAGACGATTCCTGAATTAACATTGATAATGTCGAAGATATTTCCGATGCCAATGAATGTAAAGTGTCGTCTACATTCAAAATTTCCTTCTTTCCTTTAGATAATCATATTTACATCTATATATTTGTGAAATTTCCCCTGCATACGTCGCATAGGATCTTTTACTGTTTCTTGTCATCTAATGCATCAATAAAATATGTTTTCGTTTTGCTCCACACATTTAATTGTGGCGTGTTAATTGCGCATTTAACATTTAATAACTCTTCTTTATTTTTCAGCTTGGAAATTCGTTAAGCTCATGGAAGTGACAGTATCACCTGATCCAGATGAACCTCACTCCGTAGGCAGCGTAGCCCTGGTCAAAAATGGGTATATTTGTTCTCGCATATTTAATGTGTACGGTGAAACCCTTTTTGGCGTAATTCTATTCGGAAACTTCTTCACAGTCCCGGATGAAATGCATACTATATATTACTGATCATGGACATCACAAACTTGGACAAATGTTATTAACATACTTGAAAGAATTAAATACTACCAAGTGAAGGGGTTTCACTGTATTTTGGGTTTTATTTTTATTCTGCGTATTCTTTTAATATTTTATATTTTTTCATTAAAGCTGCAGAAATCTGGACTTTGCATCAATTATTCCACACCAGCCAGCTCGATATAGAGATAGACATAATGAAGTTTTTCTTGATTTTGAAGCTTTTCTTCTCAGCGCGATGAGTGAACGATCAACACTTTGGATTCACTCTCAGATTAAAGCATGTATGGACGCGATAGACTGCAAACCAGTAAGTACAGCGTAATTTTAAACACTTTTAGCTAGACCAAAGGCCCATTTCGTTTCTGGTGAAATGAAACTCTTGTCTTAGCAAAGGCATCCGCGCGTCGTCGACAACCTTCTTTCGTTAATACCTATGCAAGTACTAAGAAATATCAGCTTCTTTTGCTCGTAATGTTGCGGTGAACATTCAAAAATAACTCCAAAGTGGCTAAGGTTTATACAGATTTGACTTGAAACTTGAAATGTGCAAGTCAATTTTTCACTGAAACGCGGGCAACTTCCTAACTTTCGTCTAATAGCAGAAGCTTTCATTGATGTCTTTCAATTTCTAATTCATTGCCAATTGCACGTGGGTCCCGCAGGGTTCGATTTTAGGCCCTATTCCCTTCCTACTAAACGATATGCCCTCGTTGCTTCGTGAACAGTTCTTTTTGCTGATGATACGAATATTCTCTGCAGTAAATAAACAGCAGGTAGTACAATGTATTTCACATTAGTTTCGTAATAACAAGTTAATAAAGGGCTGGCTCGGTGACTCAGAGCGAAGTAGCTCGCCTTTCACCAAAGAGGTTCGGGTCCGATTCCCGGACAATCTCATGTGAAATGTGTTCCGACAAAAGGAGTTTGGCTGCTTTACAAGAGCTAGTCCAACACCTGTGAAGTGTCCTGACTCCGCAAGGAGCGTTGAGCGCACTGGAGTAATTCTCCGTTAATAAGCGCCCTCTAGGGGCCGCTGCATTGGCAAGTCACGTCAGTCATAATCAAGGCAGGGAATCGCCGATAGGTAGCGTCTTCGCGCTCGCGTCTCGCACGTGCCCTGTGTCATCTACCTATCGGCCAGAATAGGGAAGGAATAAGGATAGGGGTTATGTTTAGGACGCTTCACAAAGGTTGAACTAGCGCCTGTGAAGCACGCAAACACGTTTTGTCGTAACAAATTTTACATGAGGTTCTACGGGGATGCTACGATATCGAACCCGGAACCTCAGTGGTGAAAGGCAAACCACTGAGCCACGAGAGCGTCTTTTGCGTACGTTTTCTTGAGTTACAGAATCCCTTCCTATCATTTTAACTACAAATAAATAAAAAATGAGTGAAAGTTAAAAAGAAAAAAGAAAAGAAAAATTGAAAACCAAAATTTAAAAAACCACGAGATCAACAACATTTGAAAATCTAGATATTTTTGTTCCCGAGTTATAGAAAATTTATTTGCAACGGTAAACTTGTACTTCAGCTTCTGGGTCAATGACCCCCATCTCGTTCAGGTTTTCGTCCAATTTCCCTGATCCTCGAGCAAATGCTGAGATGGCCCCTTGTTTTGCTTCTGGACATAAATGTAGCTTCAAACTTCTCCCCATAGCACGTCAAACACAGTTTTTAACTGTTTTTGACGTAAATAAATTAATAGACGAACTGCAGATTTGATTTTTCTGCATTGCTAACAAAATAGTAAATCGCCCTTACCTCTACTCCAATCGCTACAAGCAAAAGGAGTGCTCAAAAAAATGTGCGTGAAGCTACATTTATGTCCAGAAGCAAAACAAGGGGCCATTTCAATATTTGCTCAAAGGAACAGGGAAGCTGAAGTACATTATTTGTTACAAGCATATTAAGTCTTTTTTAAATACAGTACAAATGTAAACCAATTCCTTATTTATCACTGTTGTGTTAAAATAAACATTATTTTTCTTTTTAATGATCGGTAGAGTCTAATTGTATGATACAGTTACGCAGCCGAAAATATTTTACTTTTAACTTAAATTTGTGTACCGACTTCAATTGTTTAATGTGATCTGGTAATGCGTTGTGGATATGTACATGTATATGGATGTACACGTATGTACGTACATCTTTGTGGATTTGTGGTCTGAACTGTTGATACTGACAATTGATGTTGTAATTATAAATATCGGTATTGCATGTAAATATTTTCCCACCATTAAGTAAGTCAGTTTTGACAAATTTTAAGATTTTTAAATAAATAGGCAAGTCAATGTCAAGATTCTAAGCTCAATGAAAAGAGGCTTGCAGGGATCACGCGGATAGCAATTTTTCACATAGATCTATATGGGTAGTGTTCGTTTAATTTCCGGTATACTCACTAAGACAGCATAAGATGAAACACGCAAAAGCACGGTTTTGAAAATTTCATACTCATGTGACCGGATCCGAAAACCAATTATCATTTCGCCACCAGGAGAGCGAGAAACGTCGAATGACACTTCATACTTCCTACATTGGTGCACGGGAAGTGGTCTAACCGTGACTGACGGATCCGCTCACTCACAGTTCCTCAAATACTGTATAGGGATTTTTTCTCAAAATACAGAAAAAAGTAAATCTTTTATAATATAAATTTGAAGATCAGTGAAATGAAATGTCTAAATATATATTTTTTTAAATTTGTCCCAACATTTGGCTCCCCTGAATTCCGCTTCAGGAAAAATTCAAAATCTCAAGGGAACGTACGCAGATTATATTTCTCACTCATACATCACATGGAGTTATTACCGTTTTTTCACGAAAATCATGTGCCGTAAACCGGAGTGACTTAGGTACAGATTTGGGGCATTTTTAGTATTATCTGCTGTATAAACTAATATTTTTTACAAAACGTTTCACCACTAGAAAAAATAGGTTTTTGGTTATTTCTTTACGCAAGGGTATTTATTTTATTACTTATTATAACAGAGAAAAATGAAGGTAAAGTCGTACCCAAGTCACCCCTTCAAGAAGGGAGACTTGAGTACACAAGTCTGTTACTTAGATATTTTGCTTTTCGGAACGTATGTTTCCATCTCACCCCACTGACAATAATTGTGGACAAATAATGAAGGTATAAATGAATACATTTTGTATTCCCTAAATATAATTACAGGGAATTATTATTTCAAGTCTACAATGTAAATCCGAGGAGTTAAAGATACCTGTTTTGGTGGGTTTATCCCTCTTGAATTGGTTGAGGAAGGACTAGATGATTCCCTCCTGAACTGTTTATGTGATTTTCCTTTTCTTTTATTTTTTCTTGTGTGTTCGAGGCATCAGTTAACTCTGTGTGCCTGAATACAAATTACTGTACTTGAATACAAATCACTGTCCCCAAATCACCCTGCAAATGTTCAACATTTCACTAATAATTTAATAGCTAATAAACAAAAAAATTCATTTTGGTTCGTAAATTATCACTGACAGTTACCACAATGCATGTACTCACCAAAGCAAAATAACTTTAAAACTAGAAGATGTAACTAGTAAGTACTGCACACAAAGTTCTGCAATGCTTTCATGAAACCTTGAAACACAGGTTATGGTAAAAGTAGACAGGGAAAGAACGGGCGGGATATTATGGAATGTGTGAGAATTACTTTTTAAATTTGTTGCGTCTTCAGTTGACACAACGCTTCTCCAAGCCCCGGGAGGCGTTGAGCGCTTTGCGCTTTCGGAGTAATCCTCCATTAATATGTCAATGTCATAACTGTCACGTCTCGTCACAGTCAGTTGTCAAGAGGACCGCCATGTAGCATCTCCGAGTATGCGCCTCCTATTACGCGCCCCTGCGTCACTATTCAGCGGTCAGAATTGGAAATGAATTAGGATTGGGGTAGGGTTTAGAACACGTCACAGGGGTTGGACTAACCCCTGTGAAGCATGATAACTCGTTTTGTCGTAACAAATTCCACATGAGGTTCTATGGGAATTCAACGGGAATCGAACCCGAAACCTCAGTGGTGCGACTTCGCCATTGAGCCACTTTTATTCATGGAGGCTCATTCTAACGGCTGGTTTCAAAATCACCGCTCTATTCATTTACAGGGAGGATGACGTCATCTGAAATAAGATATTAGGGTATGTCCCCAAGTCACCCCAGTTTACAGTATATCAAAAATCAAATCAAATGACTTATGCTCGAACCCTCGTAGTACTCCTTATTCTCAGTCTACATTATGTCTATGTATACACTATGTACTTTATACTAGTAAACGAGAAAGTAAAAACTTAAGAATATGCCGAAAAATGATTTGATCTGAAATCTTCCCATTAATATCTTTCAATGTGACATTTGTTTTCATTACGTCATTCTTAAATCGATCTATTGTGATTACAGGAATATTGTGTCGACCTGTTTGAACCTTCAGGTCACGGCAGAAGGCGACGCCGAACAGTGGAAGTATCTTCAACCGCTGTGCACAACAATGACTCCTCGCGACCGCCTGCTAATGATTTAAACACCCAGTCGACAAAGTTCAATGAAAATATTGAATATGCTGTGCTAATGCCACAAGGTAACCCTCCCTCTGATTTTCCTGGGTTTTGAATACGACGTTACATCTGAATGTATTTATACTGACGACAAAATCTGTTTTCTAAAACGCATTTTTCAGATTTTTATCAAGAATCGACGATGAATGAGAATTCGTGTAACGCAATTTTGGCGGTTACAGGAGTGCTTGGATGTATAATATTTGTTGCCGCTTTAGTTGTGTGCTACCTCGCGTCACGCCTGCATACCCTGGTGGCAGCCCCAAATCACAGAAAGGGAATTGAAGAAGTAGTAAGAGATCATTCAGTTTTTCTACATGACGGTGAATCAAATCGATATACTGGTAGAAGTACATTACAATAATATTTAAGATACAATCCATCATGATAAAAAGTTTATTATTAGTGTTTATAAGTGTATAAGACAATACGTAATTGCAAACAAAATGTATTTGTAGTGTCTAATCACCTGTATACCAAGATTTTACCTATTAAACAACAGAAGCAACAAACAACAAGCGCGGCAAATAAACACGCGTCTGGCTGATTGTAACTGCTTCAAAATTATTATTTGGTATCAGACAGTGAATATTCATATAGAATGATAATGCGTTTACTTCAATTTTATGTGACATATGGAAGGAGGATGTTAAAATAAAAAAAAGAACTTCTAAACCTCTTAAAGCAGCCATTTGTGTACTGCTAATCGTCCGTAAAGTTGAGGTAAACTTGCGCAGATGCTTCGGCAACCAAAGATAATCTGTTGAAGTGACACAATAACGGTTGTGTGTCTACCAACACTTACATTCCATATACAAAATAAGTTGGATGTTTGTCAACAGAAATAAAGATTTTGCACTCACTTTATTGTAGTAGATAAATAACTACGGTAAGAATTGAGTGTATAAAAAATGTACGCATCTCGGCCGAAATGAGAATGTTGCTGGACTCGTTAATTTACCAACCTCGGCTTCTCTATGCACCGCCTCGGTTGATAAACACCTTGTCTAAAATTATGCACACTTCGGGCTTTATACACAAACACATTTTTTTACAGTCACCTTTGAATTGGAAGGATTGTTTGCAGTCGCTAGGCCAATAAAATATTTATGGTGTACTAGTTCATCATTGTTTCTTTTTTGACATGAAATTTATTACAATATCTTTAGTACAATAAGGATTAATTATACTTACATTTTTACCAATAAAATTATAAAATCATTTCTTACCAGTCTACGTTTCAGGCTTTCTCATGATAGCAACTGAATAACTATATTCTACGGCTTCAGCTAAAATATTTACTAACTCATGATGTCGTCATCATCATAAGCGAGCAACTTCACGAATTTTAGGATATACATTTATTTTGAACATAACAAACCAACCAATCCACATTTGTACAATATCAAGTAGAAATCACTCTGTATCTTTTATTTGATGCCATATTAAAAAGTGACGAATTCGATAAGTTTATTTAAAACTTTTGATACAAGATGTTTCACATTAATTTTTTATTCGGTAAAGAAGTAGTAAACTATAAATGTTTGTATACACTACGGGAGTTTCTTGACTATCTTGTTTATGACCATGTTGCGACTTACAAACCTCGAATCAAGAGGCCTTCGTGTTTGGAAATCGTCTTCAGAACATAAACATTTTCATAACGGTCTTGTTAGATATGCACTATCGGGTTAGGCCTGTGAACACCATAGCATTGCAATATGACTACCTTCATCTGGCACACTGAAGTGTTCATGTGACTCAGAGGAAACAAAAAACGTGATTGAGCTGTGGGAACGCGATAGTGTAACTTGCGCTTGGACATGTATCCAAAATATAATAGTTGCGATATTTTAACGGTATGTAAAGAATAGTTAATAACACTTTTATTTTTTCAATATTTATACCATATTTCTTTTTTTTCATATTGAACGACTCGGTTTCGATTAGTGAAGAATATCGTTACTTATAACTTGAATATTTATGAAGATATGCAGAAAACCATTAGTTGTCAACGTTTTCATCAGTATACATACAGCTATATGACAAAATTGCAATATTTAATAAATGCCTAGCTTTAATTGGCAACTGACATACTTCTCTACAGTAAGTTTTCGTACCTGAATCATTTCGATGTTCATTTCTAACTAGGTTCTATACTCAATTACAAGGGTATCACATGCTTCATTTAATTGTAAAGATCTAAGGAAATTAATTAATCAGCTTTTGTATTGTGCTTGTGCCAATACATTGATACAACAAAGTATTTCTTCTTGGGATAAGACATTAGAAGATATTTTCTGATATTTTGCTATAAAAATAGATCATTTCTTTCATATGGTTTTACTCCCCGAAATACTCTAACCCTACAACTCTAGCACTGATGCATTTTAAAGATCATGACTAGACTCAAATCTCTTCGTGAACACATTGGTTTCAAATGCTGATAGTTTAATTTAAATCTTTTCGTTCAGGCGCGAGATGAAGGATATCATGCAGTTGCTCTGACTCATGCAATCGAGGTGGAGGGTATCATTGTAATTAATTTATTTACACTGAACCATTCTTCACAATGAAATATATATAAACGTTAGAAATAAATTTTAGTACAATTAAATACGAATAGAAACGGAATGAAATAATATTATTTCCGTATATTAGTTTTAAGAAGCACATTGTAATTATTGGGGATGTGAGTTCCTTAACCGTAACCTTAACCGTTGGTCTTCTAAAGTTTGTGTATTACCAGAGTTTTGCCATAAAAGTCTGGTGATCTATTACCGAGAAAGCTCTTAATCCTGGTCCTGATATTTCTTGGAACATTAGAGTTACAGAGTCTGTGCAATATATTGCCATTTTGGAGCTCATTAAGATTTATTAAATAGTTGACACAATATTTTAATTCACAGCAGATATTCAATGTGTAAACAGTTTGTGTGTATATATAATGTTGTGACAATGAAAATATAAATTAGTTCCATAAGGCGTCGTGAGTTTTCGATTGCCATTCAAATTCTATCACCAATGATATTAAGTAACTATTAAACAATTATATGATCTGATGTACCATCTGAAAATGCTACAAAATAGACATCGATATGAGCGCCTGAACGCCACGCTAGTTTCTTTCAAAGAGAGCATCAAATTTGGTCCAGGTTCAGAAGCTGACGGTAGGGGACAATTGGAGGGCAAGATGCGTAATTATAAAGCATTGCTTTATCTTGCACACAATTAACTGAAGAATATGCAACAAAGAGTTAACATTCTTCAGTATACTTTCTCGGGTTCGCCGGTAGGGAAGGTTCATTTTGTTAATGTGCACCTGTTGCCAATGTTAGCATTTTTTGCAATGAATTCTTCAGATTTGAAACGAGAGAAAATTTGTGAAGAGACCGAATTGAAATTATGTGGCTTTACATACTTGGAACTCGGCCGGTACTCTATTGCACACTGTGATGATCAGTTTATTATTATTTATTTATTTAATTGTATTTACTCAACTTAATGTATTTATTTATTTTTAGTTATTTACGTAATTGAATTAATTAAAGCCCATTACATCTTTCGTTGCCCCTTTTTACTTCCACTAACGTACACATTGCCATCCGTCTGTCACACTGACATGGCTGTGGCGTATTTTCAAAGATACAACACATTGCTCGCTGCCAGAGTTCTGAAACATATGGCAGGCTTGATAGATTTTATGAAATAGCCTCTTTATAGTCGTAAAAGAAGAAACAAAATTTCGTTAGTAAAGCCTCGGAAGCTAAAATATCTCTGCTGTTCTTTCCATTAGACTTTAACGCATGGGCCGATCCAGAATATCCAGCCGTGAGATTAGGTCAATCTTAGACGATTTTACTCGCAAGTTTTAATTTTTATTTACCATCAAAAAACTGTAAAATGTTTTACGTGACGTGACAGTAACGCTAGAAAGAGGGATAAATGCTAAGTTTCCCATTTATATATTTTAGCTCAGCCTGTAAAGTTTCGTTTATATACTTCAAATCTAAATTTTAAAAAAAGAAACTAAATTGCACGGATTGTTCTGTTACTATGATTGATGTTTTGAATCCTTTAGTGATGAAATATTGTATAAAAGGGGAATTTGTACTCATGTTCTCAATAAAAAGGTCAAAAACTGCTGATCTCTCGGTTGGGTGCTAGTAGTTAAGACTGTTCTGTACACAGACTAATGCAATTTATATCATTGTACATTACTTCACAGTTTAAAATAAAACTCGAACAAACATCGAGTTCATTAATCTAGTGAAAAAATGTATTTGAAGTTGACGCCTACGTCTACGAGCGGCAATGATTGTGCTCATTGTAAATATTTAGGTGAAACGTTTAAAAGGTCGAAACTGATCAAACTAAGAGCGCAAGTAACAAAAGATTTTATTCTCAGATTTTATATTATCTGACAAATTAATCTGTATTGGCCATGAGAAATGCTTCAGTTTATTAATTTTGATTGATTTCATTTAACCTAATTTATTTTATTTTATTAATTTTGTAACCTAATTTATTTAATTTAATTCATTTATTTAACCTAATTTATTTACTTTCATTCGTTTATTTAACCTAATTTATTTACTTTAATTAATTTATTTAGGTAATTTTAATTATTTATAATTTGTATTACACCTCCCGTTGTCTCTTTTCTGCCCCCCCCCCCCCGGGCAAGTTATGGCCAGGCCTCGTAAGTAGTTCGCTTACATATACATTCTATTTTCCCCATTCACGGCACGGCGAAGGTCTACACTACTGTTACACGACAGGACACAATTGGGGAACTAATTCAGCAAATGAGAAGAAAATTCTATGTCTTTGTTTCTCCATGTCAGCTGAATGCTACAGTGAACGTTTTTGGAAGAGGATTGTTAGGCGAGTGAAACTCTCTTTTAAGAGAGAACCTCAAGTTTCTTGAAATTTTCACTCCACAATCCACCTTGCAAAGATGTTACATCTAGAAACATTTTCAAAAATAGAGTTTCTGTCTTAACGTGAACAGTGCTGAGTCGCACGATGCATTAACTGTGGTTCTTCACACTTTTGCTTTCTTCAGGTGGGTTTATTAAAAAACATTGCTTGGAGTATGGTGCTGATACAAATAATTAAATATAATGTTTCGGGTTAGGTCTATGGAAAATGGGTAAGATATTTTTGAGGAGATAGTAATGTCAAAACAAGGAAATATTCTAATAGAGCTAGAATTTGAGCCCGGAAGTTTTGCCTTTTATTTTTTCCCTAAAATAGTTAGGAAAAAGAATTAAGTTTTCTAAAAAAAGGGATGAGAAGGACATTTATTTTTTATTAAGTAGTGGACCAAAAAGACATGTAAAAATGACAAATGCGTTTTCAAAAATATGTGGTAAAATAATTTAATGATACTAGATTCAAATTTTTATTCTGACATTGAATTTTAAGCAGCACTTATCTGGAAACAGTCTTCCTTGTAATCTTTGTTGCGCATAACAATCAGAAATGTTTCAAACAGTTTCTACAAACTCAATAGTCTATCAGAAATAATATTTTTCAGTTTCAGAATTGAAAAGTATTTTTAATGGCACAGTAAATTGTGGGATTATGACTACGAATTTGTCTCATTTATGATGCTATCTCTACGAAATATTAGTGTGGTCTGGGCTATCTACTTTTGAATTCCCGATTGGCATTAAAGAAAACACTGCTATTGTTTTAGTTCTTCAAACTCCACCAGCATTGAACCAAGTCGGGAAGTTCCATATTCAGAAACGGTTTGTGTTCAAAAGGAGTTAGAGGCCGTACTCAAGCGTGAGATGGAACTCCTTTTGACCGAAGAGAGCCGGTCCGGTTCAATTACAGAAATCAAAGAATTTTGACTGGTATCGTCTGGCTTTCTCCAAGTAGTTTTTAATTTACTAACCCTGGGGCTCCATTTTAACACTTCTTGCGTTATATCGCACCTTCGCTTGCATAGCCAAAATGCGACAGTGTCCACATATTGTCCAAGTTAATCCATTTCGGTTCCTCCGGAAAAATTAAATCATGGATGGAAATGGAAAAAAATGGCAAAAACAACGTAAAATACATAAAATAGCCTTCGTAAATTAAAATAGACAAAATGTAAATCTTCTTTAATACATCCAGAAGCAGTTTATAGATTGTTATGGTTAAAAGATTTAAAATCGTAGCAAATTTTGAAGAGTTTTGCGAAACTTTCGGGCCCTACTAATAAATATGAGTCCTAAA